CATATATTATTGATTGAATTTAAACATGATTACTAATTGTTTTATTCAATACTGACTAAAAATTATTTTATCCAATTCATAATTTCATTTATTAAATTATTAAATATATAATAATCTTAAAATTTTGAAACTACAACCAAACATAAAAAATATACTCCTATGGTCTTATTTACTATAGGGTAGAGAGAGAAGAAAAAAATTAATCCTATTTATAAGGTATTTATCAATTTTTAATATTCCTCTTTACGTTTGTACTCTTATTAAATACTTTGAATAAAAATAATAGCAATGAGAGTTAAAGAATATTTATTACAGGCAAACATAGAAATTTGTTAAATTTTAGGGTAAAGTTAATGAGATTTAAAGTTTTTTTATTTTAATAAAATACACTGAAAGTGACTTATAAATAAAATTTAGAAAAACAATTAAACATTCATATAGTTAATCTAAAAATTACACACGCTGCTTGTCTAACAAAAATCCATGATCAAGCTACACTACAAATATCATGAAATGTGAAAATTGGTGGGAAAATTTGAAAATAAAATTTTCTTTTCAAAATATTCTCATATTTGGGGAAAAAAATTTGTTATGTTAGAAATGTGATAAAAATTTTGAATAACATAAAATTTGATATGTTAAATAATAATAATAATGATAATGATAATAATAAATATAAAGTTTGATATGTTATAAAAAAAATTATATAATAAATAGTTCAACGTACATTAATATTAAAAATTAATATGATTAGCTGTTCGATTTATAAGGAATAATATAATCTCCAATTGAATCACAAATTCTATTCATCTTTTTACTAAAAGTTACAGTTAAAATATTAACAATAAAATAAAAATAATTGTACAAAAATTTAACAAGAATAACAAATATAAAGAATATTTTTGTGACAAAAATATAAAGAAAGATTAAAAATAAAAGAGTCATAAAAAATTTTGGAATAACATGGTCGTATCAAAGATGAAAGCGATCACATTTTTACATTCAACAACATTTAAAAAGTACTTTTAAAAGTTAGTTTAGTGTAAAATGTGATATCCAAACAACATCTCACTTTTTAAAATTGAAAAGACACTTTGTGAAAATATGACGTGTAATATCCAAGCAAAGCCTCCATAAGAAAGTTGGGAAAAAATGTTATTTCTTTCCACTTTTTTTCCCTTCACTTTTCTCTCTTACCAAATATGACATAAATCAATGCCGACTAACATTTTATATTTGAAATGTAAAATTTTAATATTGAGTTTTTAAATAATATATTCATCAACCAATTAGCCTGTTTATTGGCCAATTTATCTTTGGAACAGGGTCCATATACTTTTTTAGAATCTACTCCTATTGATATCGTTGATGACGCCGGATGATAAATCTATAGAAATTGGGATTTATAATTGACTCATTCATGCATTTAGAAAAAATAATGAACAAGTGGTTATTTTAGTTGCGTAATTTAGATAGGGATTTTTGTTTCTTTGCTCATATATATTTCCACCACCTCCTCCTCCTGAGGAGGTGAAAAATAATGAGAGAATGACAAATATTATTGTGCAATTTTTTATTCTATCATTATAATTTCAAGTTTTATTTAAAAAAAAAAACAGGGCAATTTGTGTTCACAACACATTACATTAAAAGGTGAAGGCAAAAGAGAGCACTGAAGACTAGGAGACACTGTTAATGCTTGACCACCTTAGTATAAAAACTACTTCACATTTTTTCACAGCCATGAAGAAATACACCTCGGCGTATCGTTTTTATTTCAATAAAAAGTCAACTTAGATTAAAAAATGTTAAACCATCTTTTTAATATTATGAGGTATTTTTAATCAAATTACACTTTCAACAAATTAATTAATTATCTTTAAAATTACACAACATCTTCATATTTATTCTTATTTATGCAAAACTTTAGAATCATATGATATTATGATCTATTGAGTTAGTTAGAAATTATTATCATGTCACATTTATATACTCACAATGAGGTAGGTAGAAATATTTTGGATATATGTTATTGCTAATATCATAAGATATGTTAATTAAATTTACAAATATAAATTTGTTGAGAACAATAATATAGGTCTATGTTCAAATACTCTTCCTCAATTAAAAAGATAATGCATCTAGACGTTTAACGATAAAAATATAGCATAATCTTTTTAATATCTTGACTTCATTCTTATATTAAATTCAATCCATGGAAACCAAATAAAAATAATATCAAAATTACATTTTTTTGTGGTACCAAGACTATTTTTAGTTATAATTCTTTATCTTTTACGCATTTTATGTCCATTTATTTTTTCAATTTTATTTTTATTATTTAAACTTACTTTGAGAGGGACATCCAACTGAGGTTCAGATTCTAAATTTTTTTTTGAAATACAGTGACCTTTCAAGAATGCACAATAGACCATTTGAGATTTAAATAGGTGTTGAAAAAATTATATTTAATTCAGTGAACCTAAAATTTAAAACTGTTCACATGGCCAAAATAACATGAGTTTATTCAAGAGTAGTAAAAACAAAAACAAAACTCATTGTGCAGGATTTGTCTGATAAGACTTAGAAGAGTGATTTAATTTATATATATACACACACATACACATGATATGTTAATTATAAATTTTGAAATATCTCAAGGGGAAGTAAAAGAAATCAAAGTTGCATTTTGTTAGTTGGTTAGGGAGCTCGTTAGCTTGCCAAAGTGTGAGTTGGATTAAGTTTTCTTAGTTTGTTTTATTTCAGGAGTTGGCCCATCCCGACTAGTCAAAACTCTAGCTTGTATAGGCTAGCCCTTGATTCATTTGTCCAGCTCTATTTACAAGACTCAGTTTATAAGCTTAACAAGTCAATTTATTTACACGTGTTATTATGCAACATATTACATGTGTATCACTTTTATCATTTGATTTCAATCAATTTATTCTTCTATATTTCTAGTCATGTTTTTAATCAAATTAGACTTGTATATTAATTTTAATATTGTTACTTTATCGTTACATTTTAGTTTGTAAGTCATGTAAATTATTATATACTGAAATTGATAAATTATGTTATATAAATATAGATTTTAATAGTTCTAAAACATATTTAAAATGTTTAAAACTAACATGTAAGCATGCTTAAAAAGTTTATTTTTAAGTGAGCTTTTAAATAAGCTTTAAGCCATCACCTAAATCATGAAAAAGAAAACTTACATAGCCTTTAAGTTAGATTCAAACTTAATTTTATTTGATCAAAACATTTAGCTTAATCTATCTCTACCAAAGTCAAGCTCTCTTCTCACGGATAGCCTAGTTGTTTTCACTGTGGTTTTGACTTAGATCCATACGACCCTAGTGCTTGACCAACGTGCGAGTAACATCTTCTTTGATTTGTAACCAACCACAAAAGACAGAGAAACAAATATAAAACATGCATGTCCTTTCCCTACAATTCTCCACATTTAGCCATTTCATTTTCAACTCAGTGCATTAGAAATATTTTTGAGCAAAAGGGAATTCACTAATCATAACGAAAAGAAACAAAGGTCCATAAATATGTACAGGACCAGGATAAAGAGAACAAATGACAGCAGTGTATTAGAATTATTTTACTGTTTGCCAAGGCCCTTCTACCTCAATGCCGTGCAGGTTGTGGATTCAATGCTGCCCTACATAGCAAGCGATGCTTGCGTGCGAAAAAAGTGAATAGTTTGATTGTTTAATGTTTAACGTTGATTTAAGCTACTATTTATTTTTTATATTTATTAACTCGACCATTGAAGAAGGGAGAGGCAGTTGATATTAGTTCACTTAAAATAAATCTTAAATGATCTTTACCTACACTGCTCAAACTATAAATGTGAAAATTTCCTCCTAGTGAACTAAAGATTAATATTAATAGTTAAGGAAAACCTAAGATAGATGAATTGGCCCCAAAAGAAAAACAAATTAGACTGATAAAAAAAAAGAAAAAAATTAGACAGAAGAAAAAAAAAGCTTAATCATTTTATTTTGCCGATTTTAGAAGCCGCCCAGCTTCCTTCGAGACCGGAGGGCAGATTGAAGAATAATAAACACCCAATACCTGATATGTACGATACAGAAGTGAATATCAAATAATTAAATACAGTATACTCCTTTCTTATTTACAGGAGACAGTATTTATTTCGATCTTATTTATAAAATACTTCAATAATTATTATATTTATTTTTAGCTTTTTACATCTATTAAATATAGAGAATATTAGGATATTTTAATTTTAAAGTATGTATATTTAACAAAGATAATATTAAAAATTTATATACAATTAATCAGATTTAAAATTTTTAATTTTAATAAAAAATATTAAAAATAATTTATAAATATAATAAGAGGGTATCGGATATTACGTGCAAAATTATTAAGTTAGAAAATAATATATTCAGCTTGCTTTCAAACACCGTTCTTTCTTTCTTTCTCTTTCCCACGAATGAACCAGACATCATCTTATGAGGATTTTATTTTTTTTAAAAAAATTAATCATTTAATTCATATAATTTTAATCTAATTATAATTCAATTCTTAAACTTTAACTTGTTATAATTTAGTCTTTAAAATTTTGACTCTATTATAAATTAGTTTATGAATTTTTCCTCTTGTAATATAGTCTCTGAAAATTTAACCTTTTAAATATTAATTTTTTTATTTTAAAAAATAAAATTTTAAAATATTTAATATTTTAAAATTTATTACTAATATCTTAAATTACTAAATTTTTTAATATTTATAAATATTAAAATTTTAACAGTGACTAAATCATAAGAAGCAAAGTTTAAAAATTAACTTAGAAGTGAGTTAAAATTTTAAATATTAAATTATAATAAATTAAAATTTAAAGATTAAATTATAATTAAATTAAAATTATAAAAATTAGACGGTTAATTTTTTCTTTTCTTAAAAAGCATGTGCGAGGAAAATTTTCAGTCATGTACCGAATTTGAACGAGGAACAGAACAAACGAAGGGGAAGTAACGCAGAGTGCAAGGCTAACAAAAGTGGTTGATCCGCCGCACTTCGATAAATCCGCCCCTTCACTCCTAACTCTCATCGGACTCTTCGAGGTTTTTCCCTTTGTTGTCTCCTATCTTCTTCCATATATTCTTTCACATCACTCCCCCACTTTCGCCATTTCCATTACTCTCCCTCTCCCTCTCTCTCTAAAATGCAGTCCTCTCTGTCTCTCTCCTTCTCTCCCAGCTCCTCTGCTTCCACCGTTTCCAGATCATGCCGCTCTTCTCAGTGTTTAGCGCTCAGTGACAATGGAAGGCTTTTGAATTTCCGCTTCTGCGGTTTAAGGCGCGAGGCTTTAGGATTCACTGCTCTCAAGCTCAGTGATAGCAATCGTAGAGTGCAGCTCCCTGGCTGCAGGCACTTCAAGAAAGTAGCGGCTGCGTTGTCCGGCAATGGGGCTCCTCCGAAATCGTTCGATTACGATTTGTTGATTATTGGAGCTGGCGTCGGAGGCCACGGGGCGGCGATTCATGCCGTCGAGAAGGTAACGTGAATGGATTGCTTCAATTGATGCTAAAATGGGGTTGCTCTTAGTTCCGAGTTCAGTCGAACTTGCAATTATTAAACCATATTCACACCTCAGATCTCAACTCAGATTGGTATAAATAAAAATAGTAAAAAAATAAAGGAGGGATTTTTTTTTTTTTGTGAATACAAAAGGAGGAGTTTTGGTAAAGAAGGTAGCTTGCTTCGGTGCCTATTTCTATTCGAAAGCTGACTTTTGCTGAACTGAAGAATTCAGCTAGATTAAACCTTTTCGCTCAACAGGCTTGCTTACCTGATGATGAATCTCTAACTGATTTCGCTTTTGTTGGTTATTTGCTCTTCTATAACGAATCTTCCCAAGCACTGCAAATCAAACCATTATTATGCTGCTTAAGCCGCTTTTATTGACTGAGATATCTATTTTGACGGAGAAGTAAATGCTACAGTAGCTTGCATATGAATGCTTTCATAGAAACTACTTGTCTGTTGTTCGTTCATATTTTAGCCCAAACACCTGTATATTGATTTATTGTAACTAAAATGCTCAGCTGAAGTAAACCATGCAAGATAAATTGAAATAACACGGTGGCTGCAGGGTCTGAAAACGGCCATTGTTGAGGGAGATGTTGTTGGAGGAACCTGTGTAAACAGAGGCTGTGTCCCTTCCAAAGCTCTTTTGGCAGTAAGCGGACGTATGCGTGAACTGCAAAGTGATCATCACTTAAAATCCTTGGGCTTACAGGTAAAAACAATATATAATCTTGTTTCGCTTAATTTTGAAGCCGTGACTGTGTTGTAACGTCATTAAGAGATATTGGTTTCATCATCAATAATTGTTTTAATTGGCATTATTTATTTCAGGTTTCTGCTGCTGGGTATGACAGGCAGGGAGTGGCTGATCATGCTAATAACCTTGCTTCAAAAATCCGTAGTAATCTGACCAATTCATTGAAGGCACTTGGAGTGGACATACTCACAGGTTTTGGAACAATTTTGGTAAGTGATATATTGTGCTGAGTGGTCTGCCGTTTCTATTACTGTCAATTTGGGAAGATTAGCAATGTCTTCACTAGCAAAAGTTTGGACAGTTGACCTTAAATCACGAGGCTGCAAAAAGTGATTGAGTTCATTTTTGTTACCAACTTAATTATGATTCCATGTAGGGTCCTCAAAAGGTGCAAGTTGGTTCTTCAAAAACCATAGTAACTGCAAAAGATATAATCATAGCAACCGGTTCTGTTCCTTTCGTTCCCAAGGGCATCGAAGTTGATGGTACTAATTTATCCTTTTCTCATCACAATGTTATAATTTTATTTTCATCGTTCTTTTTAACTCTACACAATTCTGTTGACTTAGGATTTAGCAGGCGTGTCATTCATATAAGATACTATGATATACTGTCTATTAACAAACTTGTCAAGTCTGCACTACGTTCAACAACAGTGCTATGGATAAGTGTAGCCATCTTACAATGGTAAATCAGAGTTGGTTAATGTGGGATCAGACTTTCCAACTTCTTTTTTCTATTGATTGAGATTTTATAGTACATAAGAGGCTATTGGGATTTCTATGCTGGATAGGATGAGTCTCTTTCAACTTATGAAAAGATAACTTTACCACAAACAAGAACATCAGTTATTTATTTTTCCTCCTTAAAATGCCATAAACATGCAGCATATGATCAATTAATTACCTGTCTTCTTAAAGTTTGCAAAAAATGTGGCTCCACAAATAATTCTCATTCACAATAGGCCTGCATGATAATTCAACTCACACTTATCTCACCTTTTCTGCTGGTGACAGATTGGTTTGACTTGTTCTTTTAATGTCCTGCAAAAGTTACATCAAAGTATAGGCAAGTTGACCTGACCTGAATGCCCCCTGATTGAAATGCATATAAGCATATGTCCAGGGCATCACAAAGTTAGCTAGCTTATGGATGTCATGAATGCTATTAAAAAAAAAGAAAAATGTTAATTAATCGGCTTTTCTATTGGATTAGATAATGGAAAGTTAGTCTGGGGGTTCTATCGGTCCTGTGACTGACTTGCCCCTTCCCCTATCCCTCGCCCTATCTCAATACCGTGAAATGACTAACATGGCAGTGTCACCATCATGTACCTCCCATCACTCTTATCTACAACCTGTGTAATGCTCTTGCCTAAAATTTCTGATATTATATCTCTCTTGTCTGCCATTTTCTGGTTTCTTCTTGTCAGATGTATAATAAGTTAAGGACTCTGTAGTTTCTTTTTAAGACTATTTACTTAGTAATTACCTGCAGGGAAGACTGTGATTACCAGTGACCATGCGCTCAAATTGGAATCTGTTCCTGATTGGATAGCAATTGTAGGAAGTGGTTACATTGGCCTTGAATTCAGTGATGTCTATACAGCACTTGGAAGTGAGGTAGATCCTCTTTGTATTACACTATGTATTCTCTGTCACTCTTCCTTCTGGAGCAAGATTTCCAAATAGCTGAACCTAGGTGTATTTATAGGGCCCAAAACATCCATGTGAAATCATATGTTTGCTATACATCTAATTAGTATAGTACAAGAGTTAGCATATGTTTAATCTATTCATTGCACAAGTTGTTTAGTTTGCAATTACGTGCTCTGCAGGTTACTTTCATTGAAGCCTTAGATCAACTTATGCCAGGATTTGATCCTGAAATTAGCAAGTTGGCTCAGAGGGTTCTAATAAATCCCCGACATATTGACTATCATACTGGAGTTTTTGCCTCCAAGGTAACAAGCTACAATTTGCTATTGCTTGATTGAATTTTTGTTGGGTGGCTATTTCAATATGTCATACTCTTGTATTTCCTATAGATCACTCCTGCAGGGGATGGGAAGCCGGTTATCATTGAGCTCATTGACGCAAAGACTAAGGAACCTAAGGACACTTTGGAGGTGATATGACTTTTTCCTTAAGTTACAAATTTTCTCACTTTGTCTTGAACTGTTAAATTTTCTCCCTGTAAAAGAAAAAATGTGTTGGCCAGATTGAGTTATTTGTCAATGAATCAGATTGAGTTTTCTAAAACTAAGCCTAAATGGTGTATTGGCCATCTATTTTATACATTATTAACTGGTTGGTGAACGTAGGGGGAGGTATATGATTCAAATCTTAAGCGCTTGTGCCTAACTAGGTTATGCAGTTATGCTTTTTCATGTTTAATTTCCCCGTCCCTCTTTTCCAATGGCATATTGGTCATGCATTGCTTCAGAGACTAGTTGTTTCTGCATCCCTGTTGAACATGGTATTTTGAACTGGAATCCTTAGATATTTTGTTTGGCTGTATGAGTGTGGTTCCAAAGGGCTATTGTTTGCATATTTAATCACTCTTGGTATGTTACAAGCTACCAATGCTGGTTTCGCTGCAGGTGGATGCTGCATTAATAGCAACTGGAAGGGCTCCATTCACACAAGGACTTGGCTTGGAAAATGTGCGTCTTTCCAATTCCAATGTTTAAAATGTAATTGTTTCCCTGAAGGCTGTGATTAAACAATTGTATTGACTATGTTCCTTCAGATTGATGTTGCAACGCACCGTGGTTTTGTTCCTGTGGATGAGCGCATGCGAGTAATTGATGCAAAAGGAAACCTGGTTTGTTCCCAAATATCTTATTTAGAAATGATTTTTCTCCAGCTGTGATCCGTGGTTACTGAAACAAGATATGGAATGATAGGTGCCTCATTTATATTGTATCGGTGATGCAAATGGCAAGATGATGCTTGCTCATGCTGCCAGTGCTCAAGGAATTTCAGGTAAGTGCCTAGGTGGTAAATGTTGTAGTTTTGCTACCAACATTTGGGTCTTTGCCTCCCATTTCACTTCATAAAATAACTGTCTTACAGTGGTTGAACAAGTCACCGGAAGAGATTATTTGCTCAATCATTTAAGCATCCCAGCTGCTTGTTTCACTCATCCTGAAATCAGCATGGTTGGATTGACGGAGGTATATATTGAACTTTTTTATTTTGGACATACACGTCTCTCATTTTTATGTGTGTGAACAATGCTTGTCACTTTTAACAATAAATCTCAATTCAGTCCTCTTTCTTATATATGGTAACTCTCTGCATTTCCCTTCGGCTCTCCCACCCTTTTTTCCTATATGTATTAGATGATAAAATTTCTGGTATATCCAAATGTATAAATTTGCAGCCTCAAGCAAGGGAGAAAGGTGAAAAAGAAGGATTTCAAGTAAGCGTTACCAAAACAAGTTTTAAAGCCAACACAAAGGCCCTAGCAGAAAATGAAGCGGAGGGACTTGCCAAGGTTATGTTTCTCTATTCCATTTTTTCCCCTGTACAGAAGACTAAGTTCGTGTTGAATAGTGATAATGAGTTCTCTACCAAGGAGTTTCTGGCTTGATACAAGAAAGTTATCTGCCCTTGTGCTTGATCTACTTATCATTTTTCTTGAGCTTCTTTTTTAGCCTTCTCTCCCAGCTCCGTGGATTGCTGAGTGTCATTTTTGCTGTTTTCATGCAGTTGATATACAGGCCTGACAATGGAGAGATTCTAGGAGTTCATATATTTGGGTTGCATGCTGCAGATCTTATCCATGAAGCATCCAATGCAATCGCATTAGGGACACGTATTCAGGTGAATTCTCCTTCCTTAACCAACTTTATATGCCCACACACACTGCATGTAGTTATAAACGACTGCGCAATTACATGTTCATCTCTGTTGAGATATTTAGCTATTGATTGCATGTACAGAGTTTCTTATTTTTTGTTCATGTCTTTTCATGAACTTACCTGTTAATATCCACAAAAGTTTTGCTGTGAGATATGCTCGACCTTGATTGTGGTAAAATGCAGGACATTAAATTTGCCGTTCATGCTCATCCAACTTTGTCTGAGGTGCTTGATGAGCTATTTAAATCTGCAAAGGTGAGCATAGCTAATCTAGCCTCCCTTACTTTTTCCTACTTAGATGGTTATGCATCAAGAATGTTGGCGTTAACTAATGTTCTTCTGGATCATGGTTGACGATCAAAATAAGTGACTTTTCTATCTAATTTGAAATTTGATAAAATTCCTCTCTGCTATCATTCTGAGACACTGGTGAAATCTTCGTTCTCTAATGCCTCATGAAACATCGTTCTGGTGTACCGTGCATCTGAAAGCACAGGAGGAATTTTCTTTTCAAATTTCCTGACTGATTTGAGGAGAGAGTGAACATCAGATTAAATTTCTATTTTCATATGGAGAAAGAAGAGTTGAAATGCACGCAGCACGATACACATTTAGTATTTACTAGCGCACTTACACATACATACAAATAACTAATTGTGCCTGGTTCATTAATACGCCCCCTGTTCAATTACTGAGGCAGGTCAAAGCACAAGCTTCTAGCCCAGTAAGTGAAGCAGTTGCAGTCTAACCATCAGAGTATAAATTATTGAAGAAATTTGCTTGTGATAGGGAGTTCCAAGATATTGCACATCTTCAGACAGAGGACAAGAGCACATAAACAAACCTGTAGAAGAAGAAAACTACTCGAGGGAATCGGCCGAGAATGAGCGCCACGTAATACTTGTTTTGATATTTCATTTTCTTAGTTTTTTTAGTACCTTACATAATTTTTTATGTTCGTTAGTATTGCGCTCTAGAGACCTCTTCTCCTCTTTCACGAGGGGCCTTTAGAGCGGCCTATTGATGTTTTTGAGATACGTTGGTTTTGAACCCAATAAAAACATATGCTCGATTATATGTTTTCTATTAATTTCTCAGTATATAAAATTTGAGCAAATGATATATGATATATGAAATAATGTAGGTATATGCTTCTCGGGAATTTAAATCACTTATTAAAGTTATTATATATATTTCATTTGTGGTCTACTCTTTTGTAAACAAATACTTAAACAACGTTTAAAAGATTATCGACATGATGTCAAATATCAGTCACATGTCGGGTGGTTTATAATAATATTGTAGATAGAGGTTCGAACTCATGAAATGTGACAGTTGAAGATATGAAAGGAAAACTTCATTTATTTAGTTCAAATAAATTAGTCGACATCAATATATAGTTAAAATAAACTAATCAAGGCTAGAGTCTGCAAAAAAAAAAAAAATCATTATAGTCATTAAATTAGTTGAGATATCGATTCACAATAGTGAGATTGTGATTGAACTGATTATATTTTAGATAATATATAATTAAGATAAAAAGAAATAAACATTTATAATAATGTAAATGAATATTCAAATCTATAAAAAACGTAATATATATATATATATATATAAATTAAAAAAAGCAATATCCATCAATAATTCATCTTCTTTATTCAAAAAAATATACACTTATTTGTACCTTATAATTTTAGAATGTATATATACATCATGTATATTTCTTGCATATTTAGTTATCTTCTTTCCTTCTCAATACTTATTAAGTATTGGTATATATAAATTGTAGCTTTAAAAAAATATAGCAAAAATATAATTTTGAGTCCTTGCACTTTTTTCATGTTTTGTTATGGATACCTACACTTTTTTTTAATGTTTTAGATCCATATACTTTTATTTTTTGATATTATATATCATTCCAAGGTCCCTATACTGTATTCATTTAAAAATTTAAAATACTAAAAAATAAAAGTGTAAAGACTTAAAATATAACAAAAAAGAAGCATAAAGACCAATAGCAAAACGTAAGCAAAGTGTCTACCTAATTTAGGTATCTTATTTGATTTAATATGATACTAAGAAGATAAAATCCTAAAAGTTAAACCCTAAAAATTAAATCATATATATTATAGGTTAATGAACATCCTAAATATTAAATTATTATATGAATAGTATATTGAATACTAAACTTATTAAATGTGCAAAAACTCATATCAACTTTTAAATTCCTAACGCCTGAAACCTCGGTGGTAAATTAAAGAAAACAGCTATTGCTTTTGTAATTATAAAACTATTACTTTTGTAATTATAAAACCTAATAGCACACTGGTATAACACTCATGTTAACTCTTAAAAATAAAAATTATTTTCTTTAATTTAATGGCAAGATTTCCACGCTCAAAATTTAAAAATTAAGGAAATTTTTTTCACATTTCAAGAGTTCAAAGCCTCATATGCTATTCACATAATAATTTAAAATTTAAGATGTTCATTAACTCAATATTTTTCACACAACTAGTTCAATTGGTTATTTGGCCCAATACACACCATCATACTAAACACTATATTCTTGATTTAACTAACTCTGATTTACTAACGGGGGGTTGGTTCGAGTGATAAGCGGCTCGATTTTGCTTAAATAAAGTCTTGAGTTTAAGCTTTGCATGCAGAAAACACTCATTAGGTGACTAACCCACCATAAGCAGGTGCATGACGTGCGGGCTAGATTTGAATTAGTCAGGGCGAAATTCTAAACACTAGGTGGGTACCCACAAAAAAAAAAGCTCTAATTTTCTTTTCTCCATTTAAAAAGGAAAAAAAAAACCATCTATGATGCATCATTACAACCAATGTTTTTAAAACCGAATCAGACATTGAATCGAAAAAGTTAGCAGTTCACGATTCGCATAGTTCAACCGGGTTAAACTAATGGTCCAATCAGTGATATAATAATTAAATTAAAAAATTATATATAATAATTTAAATATAAGAAATACATATGAAATTGCTATTTAATTTTAAAAAATCAAATATTTTAAGTTTATCATAACTTAAATAAGTCACATGATATAACATAACATTAAATGATTATAAAAATTAATCATTTTTTTAAAAAAATTTGATACATTTTTTTAAACAGTCCGATTTTTGAAAACCGAATCCAATTCTCAGTTTAATTTTGGTTTCCTATCCGACCACTAGTTCAAAACGACTCAACCCAATTCAACTCCTAAAACAATTTTTCCTATAAATCAGACTGAAAATCAAACCAGTCGACAGTCTGACTGTCCAATTTTCAAAACACTGATTACAACACCTTCAACCAACTCCTAAAACATTTTCGCAGTAGCTTTCAAGTTATTTGGTGGATGATCCAGGTCATGTGGATTGAAAAATCAACATGTTTATTTCCTTTCTGATATATGCGACCGTTGGCATTCACAAATGTATCCTGAGGTAGGTGATAATAGAGTACTAAACATGCACACAGTCAACATCCGGCTTAATTTTTCTAAAACCATACTCCCAAGCCATATTTAAGCCATCAAACATAAGGCTGGTTTGATTTCCAAAACAAGAACCATATTCTCAAGATGACAAATGACCGAGCGAGTTCATCCGGCCATCCCCTAGCTTGTTCTTATTCAGTTATTTTAGCTCCTCTAGAAGAATACATTTATCCCACAACAGGAAATAACTGACATTTCGATTCTCAAGTAAGTAATCGGAAATCCTATATAATTTGCATAAAGTGCAGGTTTAGTACAAATTAGCAGTGTCGTTATCGTCAAAGGCGAGGAGCGTGGAGTAAGGAAGAGGCGCAGATAAACGCCCCGGGCCATAATCATGCAACAAAGGAAAGAAATCAAGTGACCATCCATCGATTCATCACAATCGTGCTATAAATATTTTCCATGGATCAGATTAACGTAATTTTCAGTTAAATGATAGATGATACAAACCTATGTTCTAATTCAAACCAGATCTATGAACCGGCCAGGACACATCCATTATCCTCCTGACGTCATTCACATGCCGAATGAAACACAAGCAACTAATGCCACTAGTGGAACGAGATGAGGCAGAAACCAACACTAGCAACACAAAGAAAACGCAAGCGCCTTGAAAATCAAAATGATGATCGTGTTGAATAAGAATCTTTGATAGAAGATAACAACAATGCTTGTGTTACGAAGATGAGGAAACGTTAAGTTCGCTATACTATTAATAAAGGACAAATTAATTCAAAAAAAGATGCCACAAAAACACAGAACTACGACAAGAAATCTAATCTATTACGGAAAATCCTCGCAGCTCCATGACAGAGTTGCCCCTCACTCTTCCTCCGTGGCTTCTTCAGCACTCTTGTTGTTATGCTTCCTGGCATACCTCTGGTTCCTCAGAAACTTGGGATCCATCTACAATGATTCCCCACAAAAAGTAAATCAATAAAGTGAAAAAAAAAATCATCATCAGAAGATTGATATCACAAAAGAAATAAAAATGACAACAAATTGTACCCCTTTGGTGGAAGTATGGCGGTGCCTCTTAGGCTTCTTGATGCCATTCTTGTGGGCCTTGTAGGACTGGTTGTGAGCAGTGTGGTTCTTCGACTTCGCCATCTCTGCAATGAAAACACACCAAATTGGACATTCAGTAGAAAAGGGGCAGACGAAACACGGAGATCAAGAGCGACAGCAAAATACGTGATTCGAAGTTACGCACCGAAACGCAGGAGAGAGGTTGAAAGTCCGGCACGCCTAGGGTTTTCAGAGCAGGGAAATTGGCGGACGAAATCAAGATGACGTTTTATATCTGATCTATGAGACTAAGCCCTAGCGCGGACACAGCTCGGCCTCTACAAGCTGAATTGGATGTAGAATGGACTGGGTAAGAGTAAAACTTACCCAAGTTCGATCGGCCCAACAACAAGTATCCACTTTCCTTGGTTCGTGATGCTTTGCCTTCCATCCGGAATGTAGACATGCATAAATTGTATTTCCTCCTGTCCTATTTAGGAAAAAGAGAAGTTAGGTTTTTTTTATCTTGTTTATTAAGCATGTGATTAAATTTTTACCATAAGTTTCCATTTTATCAATTATTAAATGTCAATAAAAATATATTATTAAAATGTATATTTAATAAGCATAAAATTAAAAATTTATTAAATTTTTAGATAGAATTAATGAGTTTTAATTTTTTTAATTTCAATAAAATATATTAAAAGTGATATATACATAAAAGAGTTAAGTGTTATTTTTATTCTTCAACTTTACTAGAAAGGTTACTGTACATTTTAAATTTAATTATGAATTAATTTTATTTTTTAATATTAAAAAAATATCACGATAAAACCGATCACCATTAATTTGTTTTGGACTGCACATGATTTTTGTCGACCAATGTTGCAAATCAATAGGTTTTTTTGTCAACTAATCAATTATGTCTGATGTGCTTCTAATGCCAGTAACTCCCAAAAAAAAAAAGTTAATACTCGACGAAGTAAAATTATGCTTTTTGATGTTTGGATCTATTACTGGGTCAGCCCAAAAAACGTGCCAGGCCAGATTAGGTTTGGGTTTGGCTGGATTAAAAAATTTGCATTTTTAAAAATATATTAAATATTAATTAATTCTTTATATTTTAGATTATTTTATACTATGCTACCATATATTTGAGTATATTATCATGGATATTTAAAAAAATAAATATTTTTATATTTTTATTATTTTAAATCTATAAAATATCTTAAAATAATATTTAAAATATATTTTAATTTTAATTTTAAAATTTTAACCACTGCATATTATTTTTAAAAAACAAAATTAAATATTTTATATGGTTTAAGTATTTCAAAAAATATATTTTATATTTTTTATAAAAAAGTAGTTAATTTTGAAGTAAAAAAATTAAAATAAAAGTAATTAAAAAAATAATAATTTGAATATTTAAGCTAACTTGAATAAGCTTAAAACCTAATAAGGTTTGACCTGAACTTAGTTATTTAAGCTTATTTAGACCAACTTGAATATATCTGACTTACCTGAATTATTAACTCTATGTGCTTTATCATCTATGCAGTCCATATATTTTAATTTAATGCTCTATAGTGATATTAGAATTTAAATATCATCATCAATTGAGGGCAGACTTTGTCTTTCTTATTCATTTATATTGTCCACTCCAAATAAAAATCCGATTTTTATTTTCTTTTTTTCTTTTTCTTTTTCAAAACTTATCTTCCATCTTAAAAGTTTGGATGATAGGACAAAAAAAATGTGTCAATATTTTGAAGAGGTGGACGTATTTCAAAAGCTCAAGATATTCTGCAACAATATTTTTTACACGATCAAAGTGGAGTTATATATATAATAGCAAAAAAAAAAGTAATATACATAATATCTATTTAGGATTGGACGAAATGTTCTAACATTTCATGCCGAGTAAAATTATGTACTATCGTTTTTTTTTATTTTAATCGAGGGTCTTTAAATTCTACAATCAAGATTAAAATATGTTGTCAATATTTTACAAATTAAAAATAATAAAAATATAATAATACGAATCTTCTTAATTTTTTTTCACAAATATCTATGCCAATGCACTTATACATACATACATATATCTAATATTTCAGCGCTTATAAAACACTGATACTTTCAATTTGTTTGACATATCTATGTCACCTAACAACAATACTATAAGATACTTTTTCAATATTTATTTGTAATCGATCATAATATATTTTTACTCTCAATACGTATTCGATAATTTCAAACCATGAATTCATGCTTGAAAACTCATAATTCAAGGCCATACTTTAAGGCATTTTTTTTAAAATTAAATTTTATTGAATATTTCTACATTAATCTTTTTGATTCTAATATCTTTTTATAATTTTCTTTTAAAATGAACTATTCAAATTTATAAGAAAATAGGGTTCTTATGTTTCTAAAAATAAATATTTTATTTATTTGCGTTATATTTTACTTTTTATTTTTAAGTAATTCCATATTAGTTTGTAAATTAATTTCTATATTTTTATTTTTATTTCAGATTTTTCTATGATATGAAAAAAAAACTTATTTCTAAAACAAAATAATTAGATTTAAAAAACGTTTATGATTTTGTTTGAAATTGTTTTTGTTTTAGGGCAAAACTTACATACTTAGCCTTATATACTTAATATATTTATATCAAATTAAATCATTACATATGGATTGTGATGTATTAATTTAATTAATAATAAGAATTGATTATAAAAAAATAATTCTATAAAATGTTCACATGTCTTGATTTAATTGAATACAAACACCTTAAATATATAAACATAAGTATATAAGTTTTGTCCTTTATTTTATTATTTTTAGAATCGGTGTTTTGTAAAACATGTTCTAAAAATAAAAAAAATAAAAACAATATTTTTTACATTATCTTTTATTCTTCAAATAATAATTTCAAAATATCTAAAAGATATTTTTATTTTTCTATTCTTAAGAACAATATTTAATTTATTTTTATTCTCCAAAATACTTTTTAAAAACATATTATTAAATAATTTTTTTGTTATGAAGAATAGAAAATTATTTCTAAAATGTGCTGTCAAACAAACTTTATATTTTTGGTGCATTTTATGATTTTTTTTCATAAATGCACATGCATGTATCTTAAACTTTTCATATATTATATTTTTTAAAAAATAAAAATATCAATGTATTTATGATGTAACACTCTAATTTTTTTTAAATAATTTAACTCAACCATGGTAGAAAAATGTCTATCATGATAAACAGAAGTTAACTTATCTTATTTTTTTGAAATAATTCTATAATTTAAAATACTATCTTGATAAGAAACGATAAAGTATAACCTTATAAAATATTTCACCCTTTAAATTAACTATCATGGTAAAAAAGATTAAACTCCTTTAAAATAATACAAAAATAATTTTATACAATTAATACACATTTACAATCATAGTTGGATTACAGTCACCCAACACATCTTATATCAATAAATTTAATATAAAAATATTTTATAATTGCCTTAAGCTTGTACAATACAACATCTCAAATAAATTTTTACTCCTCACATGCCATTAGGTTAAAATCATATTTTTCATCCTTATACTCCCAGCAAGTGCAAACTATAAAATTGATAACCGAAGTAAACAATTTAATCAATTCCCAAAACAAGCCAATTATTTGACCTCATAATCATACCATTTCAAACCATCAAAATAAATCAGAGATCAAAGTTACAGTCATCCAAAGTATACCAAAAGTAGAAATGGTTTGAAGGGCATGGTTACATTATTACATTCCTATAATTGTCAATAAACAAAAGCCCTAATATTGGCAATATAACATATTAAAAATTATAAATTAAATACCTAAAAGAAATAGTATATCTATCCCACCAAGCCTCGGAGACTTCTCCACGCACTACTCGCGGCTCTTCTCCGAAAAATTATTAACCACATAATGAGATTCAAAAGTCTCAATGACCAATGCCAATTTATGATAGTGTATACAAATAGTTAAATGTGTGCTTGCTAAGTAAAGAAACAACAGTCATATAATTCCAACAAAAATACAAAAAATATTACCATGCATGACAAATAACCATCCTTATTCCCCTATATTAACCTCAAGCCGTAGTTCTCACTCTGTGCTAAATTACCCGATCAAAGGTAAATTAGCCCGGGCCCTTACAAGTCACCTATTGGGCTCCAATAGGGTCGTACAATGTGGCATATAAATACAACAACAACAACAAGTCTCCTAACACCTCATACAATAATTAAATAAATTCATAATAATATTGTACGATTATACAATATTGTAATTTTTTTCATTTTCAACAATATTACAACATAATATCTCACTTGATAAAAATACTTTAAAATGTATATCCATAATTTTACAATTTTTTCATAAATATAACAAGGTAATTTCTCAACAAGACTTCATAATTTTTTTAATAATTACCCAATTAACGTGAAGCAACACTAATCACAAATTAAAAGCATGATTATCTCGTGACTTTTTTAATAAATTATTCCTTACAATTTCTCTCCCACCACAATCTTCACCAACAACATAATTTACAAATAACATATTATTTATAAATATTAGTTTCAACTATTGAAACTAATAAAATAACTCTAATAATAGAACTAGAGAATAAAATATAATTCATAATCTCAATCTTAATACAAATCTAGAGTTAGTATTATTAAGTAAAATTTTATAACTCCTCTTTTAGTTATCAATAAATATTAATAAGCTAAAATCAACCTCTAAATCAATTTCTATTATTAAAATTTTTTTATTTCACAAATTCGTACCTAAAATATTTAAAAATTAAAAATTGAGTAACAAGCTTAGAATCATCATCTTATAGCCATAATAATCTATTTCTCATCTCAAATAATCATCTAAACCTCAATAAATTAATATATATTTTTAGATTTAATAAAAATTTAACCTAGATTTGATCCATAAGCCTCAAATTCAAAACTCACTAACAAATTTATACTCCAGAATATTTATTATATTACTAACAACCTCAACAACCATATTTATTCAATATAAATTTATCCCTCTTTCAAATCCTAAATTTTCTACTATCATAAAATCAAAAACCAAAGAGAAATGATGGTTAAGAAAATTTTTTAGATGTCTTGAAAAGTTTAAAATATCAACCTAAATATCCTATTAGAAAGTCTCACTTTAAAAACGTAGCTCCCCAATATGGACGAACTCACACTCATATACACTCCCTCTATTCGTACATGAAAGAGAAAGGAAATGAAGGAAAAATGAAAAGAGAAGGGTGTGCGTGGGTTTTTAAAAAAAAGTGTGGGTCTCACCCCTTTTTGCTTTCCTTTCTTTTTTTTTTATATGTATATGTACATCACACTTGCATGTCCGCTCCTCCTCTTTTTTTTTTTTTGATTTATTATATGTATGTATGTATGTATGTACATTATATTGTACGAGCAAAACGTCCACCTCTCCATTTTTTCTATTTTTTTTTAATTTCCACACACACACATTTCATTTCTCAATTTCTCTTTTTATTATATTTCTCTTCTTCTTTCCTGACGATGATGATGATGATTTTTAAAATCTTAACTTAAAATTATATCATAACTTAGATTTAATAATCATCTTTACTAATTTACTTACCTCAAAATATTTTTCAAAATTTCTATTAACCAAATTAATTATTAAAATTTAAATTAGAATGTTACATATGACGTTCAACCCACGTGTTGTATTTATACATTATAGATAATAGGTTTAAGATGCATTTTTATTTTTAATTTTTCTAGGAGCAATTTTACTCCTTTATGATATGTGGGATAATTTTATCTTTAAATTATTTTTTGAAGAACGCTAAGCACCTTATAAAAGGATTTTTTTGCTCCTAAAAAATAATTTAAAAATAAAATTACTTCTTTATAAGTATAAGAATAAAATTTCTCCTTAAAATATAGTTTAAAGATAAAAAAATGCCTTTACCCTAGATGATAATACAACAGCACGGCATTGTGGATAATGGTTTTATATAGTAGGAGCAGGGATAAAAGTCCAGCTCGATCAGGAGAATTTTGTACTTGATCTTAGGACTAAGCCATGGTCACCCAGTCGAATATTTCATAAACTTTTTATTCAATTACCTTTTTTTTTGGTGAATTATCAGTATTCCAAGCCTACCTTTATCTAACTAACTATGAAGCTCCAGTACTTTAAATTGCTTGATTTATTTATGTCGATGTCGTGTCCAATACCAATATGTGCCAATACATTATTGATGCTTATCTATGATGTATTAGAATATTTTTTTTACTTAAAAATATTTTGATTCTCAGTATATTTTTCAGTACTTTTAAATTGTCAGTCAATCTTCAAAACTTACATTTCAAAGCACACTTTAAGACATATTTTTTAAGGAAAAATTTTTTATTAAAGATTTCCATATTAATCTTTGTATTTGTAATATCTTTTTATAATTTTCTTTTAAAACCAAAGGTTAAAATTTCCAAGAAAATAGGGGTTTTATGTTTCTAAATATCAATACTTTATTTATTTGCTGTTATATATTACTTTTTACTTTTGAGTATTTTCATTTCAGGATGTAAATAAGTTTATATGTTTTTTATTTTATTTCAAAATTTTCCATGATATGCAAAAAGTTAATATCGAAACCAAGATGATTAGATTTAGCGCGCGCGCACTCTGTTTTATGATTTTTTTTTTTTCATATTATATATATATATGTATGTATGTATGTACATATTCTAGATGTATTATATCCATTATTTTTCAAAAATAAAACTATTGATATCCAATTTACGTATTGTTTCTATATACCATGGACTGTAAGCATTTATTAGAACCAAATTTTGGCAAAATCAATGATGTAACTGAAGGATAATATTCTCCAAATAATAATATTCTATTATTGCAAAATTGATTAGACAATCATCCACACGTCACATAAGAGTAAAATGTATAACATGTATTTTTGTATCTTGATAATATATATATATATACACTCTCTCTAATTCTATTTATAGGATAGAGAGAAAAATTTTTTTTATTCTATTTATAAGTCACGTTATTAAATTTTTATTATAAATTTTTTCTTTTACCCTCCATTAAATATTGGAGAGAGAAAATATGTTATTAAAGTATGCATATTTAATAGAAATAAGTTAAAAACTTAATTAAATTTTAAAATAGAGTTAATGAGTTTTAAGTTTTTTATACTAATAAAATATGTTGAAAGTGACTTATAAATAGGATCAGAGAAATATATGGTATAGTCAAAGGCAATTGAGCTTGGACTAAGGTGTGATTACTTTCTTGTAATATACTTATTGGTTGATTATTAATATAGCATATTCATAATTATTCAAAAAAAAAAATCTTGCATTGACGGCTCCGGCGTTTAATGCAAGCATAGATTTACATGATATTCAATATTTACACTTAAATCGTTTGTATAGTCCAATCAATTCAAATGACTCAAATAATAATTTATTTTTTAATAAAAATAAAAATTATCATTTTCCAAACAAAATGCTTAATTGCTCATGTTTTTACTTTTTTGTTTTTCCCCCCAATAAATGAAGTGGCTAAAAAGCTCAAAGGAACAGTCTTCACCCGTTTTTTACTTTCAGCTTAAATAATACTCCGCTAGCTTTAAATTGATGAAGGCAATTTGAAGAGTTGTAAACATTATTCATATTTAATTAATTTTCTTGATGTCAGAACAGCTAATGAGTTTTGTAAAAACGATATAGGGAGTAATTATAATAGACTTCACTCAACTTTTTCTTCCTTCGCTACATTTTAATAAGGAAAAGTTAAAAGAAAAAAAAAGAAATATTTAAAAAATAGAATAGTAAAGGATAATTCAATAACTTTATTTTCAAAATATGAAATATCAGATCTTAGGCTTAAAGAGTTATATATATACATAAGCAAGAATTAAATATTTAATCTTATATACTTATTTATCCAAGATAATTGAATTTTAATGTATTAATGATATTAATATCAAGAGTTTGTTATATGATAAATAAACTATAAAAAATATATAGGTCTTTATTTATTGAAAAAGTAAATAAGTTTTTGCCAAAAAATTTGTCTAGATTAATCACGCAACAAAAGAAAGAAATAAGTAATTATCCACCTAAATCTATCGCTCTCGTGCTCTAAGTATTTTCCTTCGATCAAATTAATCTAATTCTCAGTAAAATCATAGATGATGATACAGGTCTATGAACATGCCAGGACACATCCATTATCCTCCTGGTATGATTCACAGGCGAGTGAAACACAAGTAACCAAGACGAGACTGGTCGAATGAGATGAAGCAGAAACCAACACTAGCAACAGAAGAAAACGCTAGCACCTTGAAAATCAAAATGATGATCGAATTGAACAATAGTTTTTAAAGAAGATAACAATGATGTATTACGACGGTAGCGGCCGTGTGTTCGAATTGACCAAAACCCAGGAGAAAACGTTAAGTTCGCTATACTATTATATTAATAAAGGATATATTAATTCGAAAAAAAGCCACAAAAACACAGAGCTAGAACAACAAAATTAATCTATCACGGAAAATCATGGTAGCTCTATGAAGAGTGCCCCTTTACTCTTCCTCCGTGGCTGCTTCAGCACTCTTGTTGTTATGCTTCCTGGCATACCTCTGGTTCCTCAGAAACTTAGGATCCATCTACGATAATTCCCCACATAAAATAAATCAATAAGCCTGAAAGATTGATATCACGAAAGAAATAAAAATAACAATAAATCGTACCCCTTTGGTGGAAGTATGGCGATGCCTCTTAGGCTTTTTGATGCCGTTCTTGTGGGCCTTGTACGACTGGTTATGTGCAGTGTGGTTTTTCGACTTCGCCATCTCTGCAATCAAAACACACCAATTTGGACATTCAGTAGAAAAAGGGGCAGACGAAACACGGAGATCAAGAGCGACAGCAAAATGCGTGATTCGAGGTTACGCACCAAAATGCAGAGGAGAGGTCAAAGTCCGGCGCGCCTAGGGTTTCAGAGAAGGGAGATTGGGCAGGCCTTTTATGGCGCGGACTATGTTTGACCCCTTAATGTCCAAAATGCCCTTCTAGTTTACGAATGGGCCTCTACGGACTGAGCTGGATAAGAATCCAAACTTAGCCCAATTAGTTCGGCCCAAGGACTACCGTTCAATTTCTTACGTTCGTGAATGCATGTGATACTTCTCTTTTCCTCCCAACACTCACAAGAAAACCGTTAAAACTTTAAAAGCCAATTCTGTTCTTTCGCCTTCCCAGTTTCTCCCTATTTCTTTCTTCTTGCTCTTTGCCAAACCAGAAAATCTAAAGGCATGGGTGAATCAGAAGAACATGGGTCCAGTGGTTCGCATGCGAGCAAGCAAATGCAGGGAGGGTCTTCGTCGTCGTCGTCACCAAGTGGTGGTGGTGGAGTTGTGGTTGGAGGAACGTGGAGGTTAAACAAGGAAGTTACCCTGCCCATTCTGATAACATTGAAAGAAAGCTTGGAAGCAGAAATAAAACAGGTGAAAAGTCTCATAAATATGGTACATGGCGAGGAAGTTTCGGTGGAAGAGGAGGACGAAGATCAGATGGCCCAACAGCGTGAGATTCAGAAAGCATTGGCAGATGAACAGGATAGGAGATTAGAATTGCAGATACAGATAGAAGTAATGAAGCTTACTCTTTCATGTGGTTTTAGTGGTGGTGGCACCAAATCTCAGTAGGTATTTTTGGAATCTCTTTTTTGAACATTACTTTGCATGTCTGGTGCAAGCATTAGCTTATATGTATTGGATGTGTGATTTCGATCCTCCGCTATAGTTCTGGTTTAAAATTTCCTGATAAATAAAATGATGGTAACTGTTATTGCCTGCAGTTAAAGAAATCGTTTAGTTTGTTCCTAGATTTTGAAATCTCGAATGGGTTATATAAAACTTGAGTTATTACTACGTACATTATCTATATATGAACATTTGTTGTGCAAGGCTCGTGACGGTGCATTACACAATTCGTTATTCAGAGTCTGGAATCGTACCTAAACATGGAGAATATTCATTATAAAGACAATGATTGATGATTGATGAACGTATTCTGTGTCAAATCTTCAAGGTTTTCAGGTTTGCGCGAGACATCAATCGCCACTCGATCATGGTGACATTTGTAAAGTCTGTAGTTAAGCTTCTTTAGTTTCTCATTGTCTCATGTTTTTTGGATTGTCTACTATTGTTGTTGTTGACCAATTTGACAACTACCAGACGTGTCACCTTCTAAGCCTATGATTCGTGGCAAATTAAAGATTTTCTCCTAAAAAAAAAAAATTGAAGTAGTGTTTTGCCATCAAAGTAAAGAATGACTACCATTTCCTTTGGATTCCGCTGTGGTGGGCTAAGGTTGAAATGTGGATCCCTATATGGTAATTCGGTGTGAAGCTACAAAGAAAAATAATAGATGTGGACCTTTTTTTGGTGTTTGGACTCTTCCTCATTTAATTTTAGCGAATGTCAAATTAATTAATTGAGGATATATTTTAGCAAAACACTACAATGTCAAAGGAAAAAAATGATGCGGTTCACAAACACCACATATAAGGTATGTCAGTTACTACTTCATGGTTGTCAAAAAAGTTAGATAAAACTTTAATCCCTTAAAAAAATTATATATCTTCCAATTATATTCTCATTAAATATGATATATGAGTGCTTTAATAATAAATTAAAATTTCAATACATTATTTTTTTTTAAGAAAAAGTAATAGATGAAGTAAGGATATAGTTAAAATAATTATAAAATTACATATGTCATATATTAAACAAGGTTTTTTTAATTAAAAATGTTTTATATTTTAGTCTAAAGGAATATTCAACAATAAGAGTGAGGTTTAACTTGTATGAACATTACTCATGTAAGTTTTCATAACCATAATTCACCTCACAAGCCATACGGCAGTGGTGAACTGTCCCAACTATTTTGAAAGGACAAAAAGGGGGGGGCCGGAATTCCCCTTGCTCCTCCTTCCTATTCTCCATCTTGCTCTCACAAAAGCAGGGTTTTTTTAAAAAAAAAAAAAAATCATGCCCTTATGACTTATGAGGAGAGTTGGGGCGAAAGAGGAGAGAGGAGCAGGAGGCAACTTGCTCCCACGAAAAAGAATCTCAAACACACAAATTAGACACAACTTAGGATTTGCGTTCGTGCTCATCACTGTGCTCATTTCATTTCAGTTTAAATTAATCTCTTTCATTCATTTAAATTAATTTTTACATATTTTTAATATTATATTTATTAATAAAAAATTTTTATAAATTTATTTATTATTAATTTGATCAATACAAATTTAATGTAACGGTCCAATTTAATATTAATTTTTTTTATAGTTTTACAATTGAATTATCAAAATAAATTTGGACAATTCAAATATAATCTAGATGATTTAGTTTAATATTAAAATTTATAATTTTATGAATTAACCATTTAAATATACTATAAATAGTCCATATTTAATATTAATTTTTTTAATATTTTTTTATAATAAAATATATTAAAATATTTAAAAATTAATTTAAAAGAATGATAGCATTTTAGGCTCAAATGGAGGGCAATAATTGCTCTTGGCCTTGATGAGGACTGGATGCAGATGTATAGTGCTGTAAGTATTTTCCATGATATTGTATTACCTTGCTGTCCGCTTTCTTAATCTTTTAATTAGAAAATAAAACGCTTTTAGGAGTACAAGGTCTTAAAACTGGAGGCACTTCTACAAAAAAAAAAATCCATATATAATGATTATTTTTATCAATATATAACAGTTTTTTTATCGCTATAAATTTTAATCTTATATATTTATCAAGTAAATATATAGCAATTTTTAATCATAATAAAATAATGGCTATATAACAATTATATACCAATAACTGTTATGTACTTTATTCCAGTTTTGGTACGTGGCCACCTTTCAATTAACTGTATGATGATTTTATGAAATAACCATTATATATAGTTTTTTATTTGTATAACAATTATTTGAAGGAAACCATTATATAGTTTAGCCAAGTTTTACTTATTTAATTGTGTATGTTGCCCAACAACCTATATAACGGTTGTTTGAAAACGATTACTATATAGTTCCATCTATATGCAGTTATCTTGCACAACCATTATATAGTTTGAACTAAATAGGAGTTGATTTTAAATAAACGCTATATAAGTTATTCTTTTTTTAAATAGGGGTTACATCTCCAGAAGCTCCCCGCATTTATAAAACAGACAATTTTCCAGTAACAATTTCAATAACAGAATTAAAAAAAAAAACCCAAATTTGCATGTATTGAACCAAGTTCAAAACTCAAATTTATGTCCCTGTAATTGATTTTAAAATCTATTTGCAACTATTTCAGATTGTCAAAAGAATGCATTTACAATAATTATTTATGAGAAAAAAATTGTCAAGTTAAATATATTGTAAGTTATGTTAGACAAAGTTAAAAAGAAAAAATTGGCCAAAAAACTATATTTGTTTTATCTTTGTTTTATCTAAATAAAGAATCTAATAATTTTAAAGAGCAAGCAGTGATCAATCATCTTGCTTTGAGTTTATCCACAGCTTGAATATATGTTCGGCCAACTCTTTGAACTCTTCCTTCAATCTGAATGGCACTAATAATATGTGTATACATGTGCATCCTCCTGGCACTGTAAGCCAACAAATAACAACATAAATCAAAGCTTGAGCATGTTATGTGTGTGATGTAAATTATTATAACTAATAGAGCAGAGATAGAAGACATCTTAGTCTATATAACAGTTTTTGAAATACCCATTATACATATATAAGGTATTGTATATAACCTATTTTTTTAGTGGTAAGGCAATTGGTGACAGCATCAGTACTGTGTCTCCAAATTCTGGGCATAAGGGAGTTCGAGGTGAATGGAAATTAATAGATTCTAAAAGACTGTTATCTAAATGGTGCGGGTGATACAGTAGCTAGCACATTTGGTTAATCCGAATTATTACTCGTTTTTCTGACCTTCAATTACTCGTATATTCAAACTTTCACTTATTCTGTTAACTTGGGGCTCTGAAGCTCCCGAGAAGTGATCTGGATACGAATCGTGGAATTATGGTACTTCAATGTGAAGCCAAGTCTTTGCTGCAACGGGACTGGGACGTCGAGTTATGCGTGTTCGCAATGGGAACATGGTCTCACTGTCTTTTCTTTTGTTTTTTTTTTTTTTTATAGCTTTCACACCCAATATTTTGTTTTTTTTTTATTGTTTTTTTTTTATTTAAACTGTTTGACTTCTTACGTCTCGTGTAAATGAAAAAATTACACTACACGGAACACGATTAACACGCCATGAAGGAAGATATATTCGGTAAGGATCCAATCTCCAAGGTATGAACAAATCTAAGGAGATTATTTACCGGGTCGGCATTCAATGTCTATAATTAGCGCATGTGGTCATACTTATACATGCACATGTCTATATACATGTTCATATAGAGTTCAGTACTCTGGATGCTTAATACAAGGTAAATTTAACAAATTTCATGTTTAGTTATATTTTTAAATTTTTAAATTTGTCAAAAAAAAAAATATGTAACTTCTCTTGGGAGAGTGACATTTAAAGCTATATCAAATAAATTTATCACGATAAAGGCTTATCGATTATGGATCATATATGGTTTGTATGAAAACCTATATATGTTGATATTAAAAGCTAAACATTAATTTGTTAAATTTCTAAGAAAACTTTAACAAAAAATACAAGTTAATGTTTAGCTTTTAACAATAACATATACGTATTTTCGTAAGATAATATTCATGCAAAACTGATGAACCTTTATGTGATGGATTCTCTTGAAAGGGTCTTAAATGTCATTTTTATTTATTTTTTCTATATTTGTAATTAATAACCATAATAAATTGTTGTCTAGAAATTCAAACGATAATAAATAAACAATGGA